TATATTCCTCCCTCACCTCCAACTAGCAATTTATATCAACAACGTTCTAACACAGCTCCAGTTACAAAAGATGAAAGACGTAAAAGGTAAATAAATAAATTTTAACAAAAATTAAAAATTTTTTTTAATTATACTAATTAATATATATATATTGTTTATTTAGTGTATTTGGTGGTCCAATGAAAGTTCACCCAGATACAATTGTTCCTGTCCGTCAACCTAAAGGACCTGAAATGACTAGAAATTTTGCTACTCGAATTCGTCGTAAAGCTGTCAACAAGATTCATGCTGCTACTGCTGAAAGAAGAAGTAAATCTGCTGCTGACAGGAGAAAATCTGCGATGTTTTAATAGCAATAATAGTGGTAACGATAATAATTAGAACCTTACATGGTTGAAATTAAAAAAAAAAATTATTTGGATAAAGATCTAGAAAGCAATGTAGGCCAATGAAAGAATAAATAAATTGTGATGATAATAATTAAATTTATCATCATTATTTTTTAAAATATTAGCAAGATGAAATTAAAATTTATTTTTTTCTAGAGAGATATATTTTTTAAAGCCCGAATTGCACAGAAAAGTATCGGTGACTTATAATTTAGGCAATTTTATGGTGGCTTAGTGTTAACGAATTTGATTTTCTTATTAGAGTTTTTTGGAAATTATACACAGCCATGTTATATAATATGCGCATCACAACTCTCGATTTATCGCTTGCTATGCACAATAGAAAATTATTTCAGGGAGGCATCTGTGTACGTATCCCAATTGTTAAGCTTCAACATGCCTCTGTATCCATGTATAATTTTATTTCCAAACAAAATATTAAAATAAAACGATAATTTTGAAAATTTCTAATGCAGGTTTAAAGTTTGGCCATTTAAAAAATGGCAATGATTTTAAATGCTTGATGATGCTGACGGATACAAATATAATATGATTTAAGAATACCATATTAATATAAATATATATTCCTTGGTAGGAAGTATTTGAAGTATCCGAAATGGGAATTATTTGAAGAGGAAAAAATATAGTTACACAAAATATATTTACATTTGGAGAAAAGAAAAGTTTGGACTTGTACTTTATTGCCATTTTTATTATAAAGATCTTTATAAATAAATCTATAACAATAATTATTATCAGTAATAATTTTATATTTTTTAATATTATACAAAAATTTACAAAGAACCTTCTTTAGAAAAGGAAACATCCAAAGTTGAAGAACTAATTATATCTTTCAAATGAATAATAATTTTTAAAAATCTTGAGTTCAAAGTTCAAACCGTACCTCTCGCGACGAGAAGAAGAGCTCTAGCTTGTATCACAACATTAAATCTACCGTATATTCTTTTTGGTGGCGATGATGATAATTTGTAGAAATATCTCATTAGAGTATTGAAAGATTATTGTTATTTAGAATAAGTGTCATTTTGATGGTTGTTAATATTATTAATTTGTTCGTAAGTTGGATCTATTATAAGTGTTTGGCTTTAATTAAAACCCGTTCTTTTTTTAAATATGTTTTAAATATGACAGTGTCCTCCACTTACTTTTACCATTGCCATAAAACAATCGTATATTTCAAATCATCGACCAATATTATCACGACTATCATTGTCGACGGCAACGATATGAATTATTTAATCAATACAAATTTCTTCTTCTTCTTCTTCTTGCGAAAATAATAATATTAATATTGGCTTTTGACACGTAACAAAATAGAAATCAAAGAATTTTTGATCACGGTCATTATTACATTTTAAAACGAATCGATCGACAGCTAAATATCAAGTAAACTTTTTTCTCACGTATAACGTTTAGAAACTCCTCGAATTAATGTCAAGAGAAATTTTGTCGAATTAAATTTTTAACCAAAAATCAATCAATTAATCTTTTTTTCTCATTTATTATTATTTTCATCTTAATACTGCGCCACATTACAAAACTATAGTGATAGTAGCGTAGAAGAAGAAAATAGACACTTCCGCTAATAATAATAATACAATACCAATACTACCAATGTTGTTGTTATGAAATTAAGATTTTATTGATTTTGTAATTTTTGAATTCATACATACATTATATTAATTCTTCATTTATAATTAATCCAATTAACTCATAGATGGTCATATCAATCAATTATAATTAATACAAATTTTAATAATTTTCTCACAAATTTATTATTATAATTATTATTGTTAATTTTGAAAAAAGAAGAAAGGAAGAAAGGAAAATAGAGAAAAATAAAACAAGAAAAAAAAATTTCTTGACAATAAATATAATAAATAAAATAAAATTTTCTCTGTTTTTCTTTTTTCTTTCTCTTCTTTTCGTATAGTAGAGGTTTACTTTCTCATAAATCAAAATCAAAATCAACAAACTACTCTTTAAATTCATTCTCCCTTTCTCTTTCTCTAATTCAACATTATTTCCTTTAAAATCAATCCTCCACCACCCTACAACACTTTCACGCAAACTACCATTATATGATTTCCATTAATAAATCTTTTTCTTTAAAAAAAAAAATAAATAATAAAGATGACAAATAAACTTCGTAAAGAATCGAAAAAACTATTAAAAATTTTAAAAAAGGTTGAAAAAGAACATGAAAATAAAAGTGAAAAAAATAAAGAAATTCATTCTTCATTTTCATCGTCCTCTATTAAACAATACCCCAAACCTTCTATTGCCGGATTTTTAACATCGCAGTCAGTTCAACCCACAACAACAATGACATTCCAATATTTTGTTAATTATGATGACACAGTTAATGGAATACAAGATAATAATAGCATTGCATCTTTTGGTCTAGTTATTGGAGTAATAATAGGTTTATCATTATTATTAATTGGTATTGGAGTAGCTATTTATCATAAAAAGCATCGTCATTTCAAACAACATCTTAAAATTAGATATAATAGCAATAACAACGACAACGATGTTTTTAATAATTATAAAGATGATGATGATGATATTGATGATGAAAAGAAAAATCATCAGAATCACCATGATGATGATGATGATTCAACATCAAATATTCACCGCAGCAACACTAAAAATAATGATAACAACAACAACATTTCCCAGCAATCAAAATTCATAAATTATCAAAATTTCGACGAAACTAATCAACAACGATCAATTGATAACGAAAATGAAATCACAAAATTACCAACAGTCTATGTTCCAAATACACATTCATACATACGTAATTATTACAATAGTCTGCATGATGACAAAATAATAACATTTGACCCATCTGAAACCCTCTCATCTTCTTCTTTCTCGCAACCTTCTCCGACAAACTTAATGAAGCCAACACAAACAAAAACATTTTCATCGATAAAATCTTTAAACTATACTCCATCAACAACATCACCCGGCAATGAGGCAAATAATAATTATTATAAGAAGAAGGAAACTCCATTAATAAATAAAATTTATTCTGGACCATCAAATCAAAACTTTTCTCAAACCGTAGTTATCAGTTTAAATGATTACCATACTAATGGTAATGATATTAATGATAACTGTTTTGATGGTTATTATAATAATATCAATTATAGTGAGAAAGGTAAACAAGTAGAAGATTATTACAATTGCAACAACGACACTAATAATAATTGTAATAATGAAAATGACAATAAGATTAAGAATGGTAATGAAATTCTTCTCGTCAATATTAAACCAAAACCTTCTAAACTTAAAAGTGATCCTTATAACAATCACTCAAAATCATATTTGTCAAATAATGAACCATCATCATCATTGCAAACGCCAATACCAACTATAATAAGACCTAAAAATCCATCAATATCCGATTCTTTTAAAACGTTCCCTTCTTCATTGCCATCACCATATTCAAATTATGAAAAATCTGCTTGTAGTAAAAAATTTGCTTCAAAACTTATTTCTTGGACCAGTAATATGAACAATAACAACAACAAAAATTATAAAGTTTTAACCCTTAAACAAAATACTGATGGTAATAGTGTTGGGGAGTACAGTGCTAGCAGTATGTATAATGACAGTGCTGCAGAAACAAGTAGTAGCATATATAGTTATAGTACTGTAACAACAAATAGTGATGTATATAGTGATACTAGCAACGGTTATAGTTATAGTGAAGATGAAAAGATAAGAAAAAATACAACTGCCATTCCTAATTCTTCCTCTTCGCCCAATTTACAAATTGTTTCATCCAATTCCCGAATTCCAAATTCATTAATACCGTCACAAGCACAACTACAACCATTACAAACTAATTATACTAATGATGATAATAATAATAATAATAATAGAAATGGAAATAAAGAACCTGATGAATATAGTGAGTACAGCGAATATAGCGAATATAGTGAATACAGTGAATATAGTGAATACAGCGAATACAGCGAATATAGTGAACATAGTGAACATAGTGAACATGATGCTCCCAATCATTCACGTTATCTTTATAGTGACAAAGAAATTCTTTATTATAGTAAAAGTAATTACTTTGACATTATTAATAGTATTTATTACTGTAACGAAGATGCTGATAATAGGGATAAGAATAATGGCGAAGAAGAAAGAAACGAAAGTGATAATGATAATAATAATCCATCAGTTAAATTACCAAAAATTCCCAAAATTATTGTTAACAAGAATTTAAGTATAAATTTTGAAAGATTCAGTTTATTTAGAAATGCTCCGGGATATATAGATAAAGGCTATTATGATATCGATAATTATATTATTGATAGTGATAGTAATTACCGTAGTAAGGGTATTCGTAATGGTAATAATCGTATAGCCCATGTTTATCTTAAACCTGGATCAATACAATCAACATATAGATGAAGGATTTCTTTTTGTGCTAGATTTAATTAATATGTAACTTCTTGGGTGTTAATGATCTTTATTTTTTCTATTAATATATATATACGCGTATTAATTCATTATTTTCTATTTATAAACCTTTTTTTTTTTTTAATAAAACAAATATATGAAGAAAAACTTGGCTAATATGTATTAACTGTTTTACAAGCCTACCAAAAATAATCAATAGCTTCAAATTATAATCATAAAGTTACCAGAAAAATGTACGCCCGGATTATTAAAGCCTAACATTTAAAACTACACCACGTCTCTAAAATTGATGCCTGCAACTGATTGCAACTTAGGTTGCAACATCCCGAATATTGCGGTTTCTTGGTCGTAGACATAAACTTTACAGTCTCAATATTTTTTAGTTTGAGTATAGCTATTTTGTCACTTTTTGACCTGTGATGGTTTATTAACCTGTCTGTCATTCATCTTACTAAAATCATGAAGTAATTGTTACATATGATAGAGGAAAACTTGTTGATATTGATTTATTAATTTATAATTATTGTCATATTTTTTTTCTGGATATAAATAAATACAGTAAAAATAATGAATATGAATAAGAAAATAAATTTATTGTTTTTTACATTTAACAATATTCTTAATGAAGATAAAGTATTCTTCTAATTATTTTATATATTCAAATGTGTGAATTTTATCAGGATCGATTTCTATTAAATCCTTTCCTTAACTGGAGGATCACGTTATTTGAATTCAATGTAAGGTTGAATAACATTTTGCAAAAGATCATGTAGATGAATGTTTTTTTTCAAAAGATAAAAAAAATATATTATGGGGAATGTTCAAGGTAAATTCATAGTGTAATCATTTGACCTAAAGCTATAAATGACAAATGATTTGATTAAAGAGGTGAACAGCTTAAATTGTTCCTAAAGAAAATTAGTGCGAAGCTTAAACTGAATATTGAAATCAATAATCAGACTAATTGGAAGGAACGGACGATGAACAGTCGACCTAAACGAATATAAATCATTACGGGGGGTAGTTACATGTTAAATAGAATTAAATATTTGTATAATAAGGGCACTGACATATATTAGCTAATATCATTTTTATAGTAGCACTTACTCCCCCACCCCCAGGTAAGACATTTTGATCACGTGCATAACAATCATTTGCCTTTTTAGGTATCAACAAAGCACAAGCGAAAAAAAGAATTAATTTTATTAATAAATCAAGCATTTTAAAAGCAACATTGGAGTAAATAAATTTTCCTTTATAATATATTATGATCTCTTTGAATTTCTGGGTATGATTTAAATTGGCTATTTCTTGACAAAACAACTTATTTGGTTCTGAGTGTAATAACTCTTACTTATTTGAAAATTATAAACAATGCATCTTGCTAAAGGAAAATCTAAAGAACAAAACTCAAGGATTCTTGATGATTTCTCTCTTCTCAATCACAACAAAAGTGGCCTCTTTTTGACAAAATATATTTAAGGAAATGTATATCAGATAAAGAATGATTAATTATAGCATTTATATATATGAGAATGTGAGAATTAATCCTGTAGACAAAAAGTGTAATGCAATTTTTTGTGCAAATGACAATTGGTTTGCATGTAGATCATTCCCAAATTGAAACACTTACATTCAAATTATAAAAATACAGATCTTTCACTGAAGCCATTATGATCACGTTATTTATGAGATTGTGTGACCTAAGATTTTCTGTTATCCCCACCTCCTAAAATATTAGCTAATATATGTCAGTGCCCTTATTATATTAATGTTATCTGTAATTCTGAACATGGGTCCCACCCAATTGACTGACAGACATTATATCAACAGCCGTTATACCAACAGGACATTTTACCAACAGGACATTATACTGACAGGACATTATACTGACAAGTCATTTCATAGTGCAATTAATCAATCTAGCCATCTAATAAATGGCTTAACCACTTAAACAGCCTAGCTGTCTAATAAATGGTTTAACAAACTTGAACAGCTTAGCTGGCTAATAAATGGTTTGACAGCTTAGCCGGCTAATCAGCTAACATCATCAGATATATTAATATATATTATATGTGCCATTTCTTAATGTTAATGGATAATGATAATGAACTGATATGGTTATGTAGGAAAACAAAGAAATACAGTCAACCCCTCTAAGTGCACCCTCCTTGGGAACATATTATTATTTCTCATGAACGTGCATTTAGAGAGGGTGTGCATTTAGAGGGGATAATTTTATAAGCTCACTATAAAGTTTGTGAATGAGACATGGCGTGCATTTAGAGAGGGTTTACATAGTGAGTGCATTTAGAGAGGGCACACTTAGAGGGGTTGACTGTATTATGCTAAATTGATAGAATATATTAGAAAATGACTTGTCAGTATAATGTCCTGTTGATATAACATCCTGTCAGTATAATGTTTTGTCAGTATAATGTCTTGTTGGTATAATGTCCTGTCGGTATAACAGCTGTTGGTATAATGTCTATTGGTCGATCGGGGTAAACCCCTGAACATTCAGGAAAACACTAACTGATTGAATATGCAAAATTCTAATTAGAAAAGAATATGAAATTCAATGTATAAATATTCTAACAAGTTTTGACTTTAAAAACTATTTGCTAGTACAAAAATTATTCATCTGATTATCAATTATTCCTTCACGCAAACAAATAATTAACACTTATAAAAGATTGCTCATATCCCGTAACACTGTTTTTTTCCTTACTTGGAATAGATTGTATGAATTTGGTTTTGATCTACTGTTTTTTTTTTTTGTTTGTTTGCCTATATTTGTTTTTTTTCGCCCCATATTTGTAAATAAACAGTGGTACGGGAAACAAGACGTTGTAGAAGAGTGCTCATTATACATGAGCGAACAAACGAACAGATCGATCGAATAGATCGAGTGAGCATTGAGATGATGATAAATGATAAAAAAAATCAATTTTTATTAAACACAATTTTTTGGGAAGCATGAGATGAAAAAAATGAGACGTTTCTTTGATTTAGTTAAAAAAATTTTTTTTTTTTTACTCCTTGAAATGATTGACATTATACAATTATTTTTATTTATTTTATTATTAATTATTAATTATTAATTTATACATATTATTACTAATAATTTACACATATTATTACTAACAATCTAATTATTTTTCACTATTTGTTTGTCTGATGTTAAAAAATTTTTTTTGATCTTTCCTTACCTTTTTGATTTTATTTTTTTATTTTTTTATCTACCACGTCCATCTATTGGAGAGGTTTCTTTTCTTTTGTTTACTGCGGTTTAACCCTTTGATCAACTAACTCCAAAAATAAATCAATAGCCGAATGAGTGCAATAATAACTAATAATAACGTATAAATAATAATAAAAAAAAATTAAATTGTTTGTTTATGTCGCAAACAAAGTAGTCTATCTATATATATACAACAAACAAAAATTAAGCTAGTACTAAAGTGTATGATTTAAGTAAATACGGTCGTCGTGTAATAAAAAATCACAATTGGTCAATGAATGAATGTGCCGTTGCAAAGTTTTTGAATTGGTCATTTTTTTCAATTGTTTATGTCGCAAAACAAAGTAGTCTATCTATATATATACCAACAAACAAAAATTATGCTAGTACTAAAGTGTATGATTAAGTAAATACGGTCGTCGCGTAATAAAAATCACAATTGGTCGATGAATGAATGTGCCGTTGCAAAGTTTTTGAATTGGTCATTTTTTTCGATTGTTTATGTCGCAAAAAAATTTTTTTGAGTTGTAAATTTTGTTTTGTTAAATAAATTTGTTTGATTTTTTCATACATCGTTCATGTTTCCTCTTGATCGTGTATCTTAAATTGGTCGCGCTTGCGATCATTTCATTGACATTCGTTATGTTAGGGTTATTTTGATTATGTCGAGAGATATGGTCAAGAGAAGAGTTAGGAAGAGAGTTATTCTTCAACCAAGTCGAAAACCAACCCTTTAAATACATTTTCGAGTGGTACGATTTAATTTATTAGACTGTTTCGATGGTTCGTCGCGTGGTTGCTTCCAACTTCTTAAATTCGTTAACGAAATAATTGTTGGTGAAGTGATTGTTGACAAAATGAATCAAACACATTCATTTCTACGTTATCAAATTCACGATTTTAATTGGTCAATAACAAATTGCGTGAGTTAAATTTTTGTGTCCCTCCCTGTTAATTTTGTATTCCCAGAACGGTCTCTCCTGCTCACTTGCACATCCTCGATTACAAAACTTGTTGTTCATAACACAATACTATTTGGGAACGCAATTTTTTTTTGTCAATCACGTGTAATGATTCCACGTTAAACAAATTTATTAATAAACGTTTCTGGTCTCGCAATTCTTGTTTAAATTTAAAAATGACCGAAAAGAATAAAAAAATAATTACTATAGGAGTCAGGTAAAGTTGATTGAACTATACTTACATATATTTAAATCAAAAACTAATTTGAAAACAATTCACTCGATATTATTTTTAGTGGAGTATCTTGTTCAGGAAAAACTGTAAGTAATAATGATAATACAAATATATACAAATATTTATAATATTAACTATAACAATTATAATAAAAGATTTTGGTAAAATGTCTTGAAAAAATCTTACCAAACCCAATTATACTTTTCCAAGATGATTTTTTCAAGGTAAATTATTTATTTGCTAATTTAAAATAAATAAAATTAATCCTCACAATTTATGCACATTATTGTAATGATTAATATATTAAAGCCTGATTCGGAAATTCCATTAGATATTAAGACAAATTTACAAAATTGGGATTGTCCTGAAGCAATAAACTTTTTATCATTTCATAAGACTTTAAAGATTTTACGCAACAACAACAATATTAATGATGATATCAGTAAATCAAAAACTGATGAATTATATGAAAAAACTATCAAAGAATTACCAAATAATTTAGTAAAAGAATTGTCAAAAAAAATTGAAGATGTAATTATTAATAATAATACTGTTGATAAAGATGATAATATTGATAACTGGAAATTTATTTTAATTGATGGATTTTTGTTGTATTGGGAAAAAGAAATTTTTAAAGAAATAGATTTGAAATTTTTTATTCAAGCAGATTATGAAATTTTGAAAGAAAGAAGAGATTCAAGGTCTAAATACATTACATTGGAAGGTGAGAAGAAAGATCGTTTATTTACATGGTATAGTTAATTAATATTATTGATATTGATTATTTATTATTATAGGATTTTGGATTGATCCACCAAATTATTTTGATGAAATAGTTTGGCCAAATCATGTTAAATATCATAAACATTTATATTCAGGTGAAAAAGGAATTAGAATAGAAGATTTAAATATTTTAGAAACAAATCATAGAGATTCTTTAATAAATAATATTAATAAATCTGTTATGATTATAATAGATTATATAAAAATAAGTATTTTTAATAAACAATAATATATTTTGTGAGATATATATATTATAAAATCATTTTTTTAATTAATCAATTAATTAACCATCATTTTGTCTATCACCTTACTAATCTTTTGAAGTATATCAACTTTCCTTCTTCTTGCCATCATCATTTGACACTTTTTTTCTTGTCTTTTATTCGCTTCATTTGTAATTTTTCTCTTTCCGTATTTAATCTTTAATCTTTAATCTTTAATACATTACTGCTGTTATTATCAATATTAATAATAATAATTTTGTCTTATTAATAATATTATTATTAATTGTGTTTTCTTGTTCAGTTCTACAATATGCTACTGTGCATTCTATTCATAATAAGCGCAAAGATATAAGCTCCGTCAATGCATGCTCCGGATCTACAAGATTCGTAATCTTGTGGATGCAAATGGTTATTATTATGTGAAAAACCATCATGTTATTTCACTCCCGGGTTTAAAACACAAGACATGGTTCAACGTGTTTTTGTTTTAAAAAAACAGCCTGAACTGATCACATTACCGATTTAAACAATAAATCCCACGGATATATATACTTGGCGCAAGGTTGGCGCTAAAGAAAGAATACAATAGTAAAACGTGTAGACCTTTAAATATACATATTGTAAATCTATTAAATCTACCCTTGGTGAAGATATAAACGAAGCCTTATAAGTATGTTGCTAATCAGTAGTAAATTTTAATGCCAACATCACCTCATTTGTCCTATTGCTATATTTTTGAATACAGTGTAACATTCACCATAAGAAAATTTTTTTTACCAGCAATCCCGATCTTTGGTTCAGGTAGCTTAAGTGAGTACAGTCAATTTGCAACAAATGATAAACGTTTTTTAGTTTAACATTTAGGTAAGAATAATAAATCTACTAGAATTAATAATGACAGAAGTGTCGGAATTAACAGAGGAATTGACAATTTCAAAAACTGTCCAAGACACTTTTGGCGGAACCTCGGAGGTTTGTGAAGTCCAAGGAGAGGGTATAAAAGTTCAAGAACAGAGTGAGAATAATGGCTGGGGAGAAGAATCTTTGCCAGCAGGGGATGGGTGGGGAGAGGTATCGTCAACAATAGGAAGTGGATGGGGAGAAAATGTAGCAATTGAAGAAAATACAAATGTGAATAATGATTATTGGGGAGGAGGCTCTAGTACTGAGAATTTAGATAACTTGTGGGCTCCGGAAGAAACTATCGAGAGCTTTCAAGATAATTCAACAACTTACGGTGGAAAGGTACAAGATAACAATAATAAAGGAAGGTTTTCTAGAGGAGGTCGTGGTCGTGGTGGTGGTCGTGGTGGTGGCGGTCGTGGTCGTGGTGGCGGTCGTGGTCGTGGTGGCGGTCGTGGTGGTGGTGGACGTGGTGGAAGAGGAAGAGAATCGCCACAAAGAAATTGGGATAACTTTGAGCGTAATTCCAGCGGAGGATCAGATTATCGAGGATATGGGCAAAGAGATTTTTCGAATGGTGGTGGTGGCTATAGATATAATTGTAGGCTATTTTATATATATAAAAATTATTATGTAAACATTGAATTGTATTTAAAAAATTAATTTTATAAATTGAATTCAATTTTGAAATAGATGATCATAATGATAATCATAATAATAATGATGATAATAGTAATAACAACAATTATAATAATAATAACAATAACAACAAAAACAATCGCCACAACAAGAATGAAGATTACAGCCCTGAACAAAGTCCCAAGGAAAGAAAACCCGGAAGTTTATATGAGAGCATACATGCACCTAAAAGAGGATCAGCTCCATATGTTAATGAGAACCGAGTAAAATCAGGTGGTGTTTCTCGGGTTAGTGTCATTGAAAACCGTATATATATATAACGACCAATTTATTTATTTTATTATGATGGTGATGTTAATCAATCAATTATTTTATTTCAAACCTTATATTCATATATTCAGAGAATGGATAGAATGAACGAGACTCAATTAAAAGATTTAATGGAAAAAATGAGTTTACAAAATAAAAAATTAATTGAAAAACGAAAAGTATTTATTCATTATTATTTATTTATTTATATATTATAATAAAATTTTATTGAATAAATAAGTACATATATCTATCTATGTTTATATATTATGAAAACATAGTTAGTTGAAGAAGAGGAAGAAAGGTTTCGTAAAGAGGAAGATGAAAGAAACAAAAGAGATTTAGAAGATTATGAAAGACAAAAGATGATACTTCAAGAAGAAGAAGAAATAAGAAAGAGACGCGAATTGCAAAAAAAAAAATTACAAGAAGAAACCTAGTATGTGTTAATTTTTGTTAAATAAAAAAAGATAATGTCTTTTCATAAAAGTGTTTATAATATTTATAATATATAAAAGCATGGAACGTGAAAGGAATGCACAAAGAAAAATAGAAAATAGTCACAATAGAGAATGGGATAGAGGAAAGAATGAAACTGGCTGGAAGGAAGATGCAGGACAAAAACACAATGATAATGATGACGAACAAGGAAATGTCACAAGAAATTCATCACGCGGAGACGGGAAAAGGGGGCGAGGGCGTGGCAGAAGTGAACGAGGTGCTAGTAAAAGAGATGACGGTGGTGGATCTAGACGATACAGTGATCAATCAAAGGAATTTTCAAGCAATTTAAATGAGGATAAGAGGTTCGGCGATGGCAATAGTTGGGCTGAGCAGCAAGAACAACATATTGCGGATAATACTGGTAATATTTGGAATGAAAACAATAATGAGAATAACGAATTGGACTCCAATAATTTGGAAAATAAAGAAGATTGCATGAAAAGTAAATATCTTTGTGTATATATGTATATAAAAGTGCTGATATTAATTATATATTTATGTTTGTGCACTGATAATGTAGATGCATCTTGTGATGTCGAAATTACAAAATCCAATCAACAAGAAAATTATTGGGATGAGGGTACAGAAACCAATCATCAAGATGATTATTGGGGATCAGATTCATGAGGAAGAAGGTATAAATTATTGTGTCTGTAATTTTAAAAAAAAACGTTTAATAATAATTTTATTATCTAATTTTAATAGGCCGGGTAAATTTATTAATTTATTGGATTCTTATAAATTGTAAAATTTACATATATTTAATCATCTCCTTGAAATTTAAACCATCGTCATTTTAATGTATGTATGTAATACGAATAAAAAATAAATGATGTTTTTTTATTTCGTGAATTGGGCACTCTAGAACTATGTTATCATTGATCACAAACTTGTTTTTTATATATAAAGTCTCTCTTGTACTGATAACATGAATAATAAGTACAAATTTAAATTTTTTATTTTATTTGACAAAATTGAATTTAATTATATAATTATTTAAAGATACGTCTCATATTAGTGATATAAATAATATTATTTAAAATTGGAATTGTTGACCTCGAAGTTGTGAATTGTAATATTGTTGAACTTGTAAAGATTGAGCTTGAGAAGCAGGTACCATATTAGGTGCCATATTGGGCGTCATATTAGGCGTCATATTAGGCGTCATTTGTTGTTGAGAAAGTCTTTGCTGCTGCTGTTGAGCCTGAGCTAGTGCTTGCCTTTGCATTACAAAAGCTTGAATATGATTCGCATTTGCGACAGCAACAGATGATGTTCTTCCTTGTGCAATTATTGGATTTTGTGATCTCATGTAAATTGGTCTTCCGTGTCCTTGAAAAGCAACAGCTGCAGCATGTCGCTGTTCATATAATACTGCTTGTACTTGACGTTCTTGTTCAATCTTGATATGACTCAATTCCATTGGATTTGCAATTCTTCGGGATGATATATGTTGATCATGTATTCTTCTTTGAGTTTGATTTTTAGTGATATTGTCTTGGCGAATTTTAGACACTCGTTTTATTGATTCTGTCAAGTTAAAATTACGACGTAATTTAGGTGTGTCAAATTTTGAAAAATTCTTTGTTAAATCTTTTATTTGTTTATTGTTCTGATGTGATTCTGACCAGAAAACTAAAAATAATTCAAAAACAATAAAGAAAATAATTAGCATCTAATTTTAACCTAATGGTTTTATGTAAAAAAAAAGTTTTACTTTTATTAGAGTAACTCTCATCATCGATTAATTCAGCCTCATCAGAATTTTCATTTTTAATTTTTTTATAATAATGATCCTCATCTTGATATTCACGAATAGTACTATATTCTCCTTTTCGGACATTGTGTTTCTCTTTAATACAAAATTTAAAGATTGATAAACATTAAAAAATAAAACAATATGGATAATATGACCAATTATAATTTGTTAGATGAGCTTGCCTTTCCTAGGACGTCTATACATAATTTTCGATACAGGAATAATACGATGACAATGAATTTCGTCAATATAAATATCATCAGGAGAAGGCTTAGGTGGTGTGTATGCCGGTAACTCCGGGAAAGCCTTTTCGATATCATAAAATTGCCCATCTTGTGTTTCTAATGTACATACGATATCATTTAATGACAAGTTGATAATTTTATTTCTTAAAGACTCTACTGAATTTGGGGAGGAATTATGAGGCTAAAAAATAAAATAGCAAGTTTCATAAAAGATTATTAAAAAAAAATCATTACGTTATTTATATAACATATGGGCACAAACTCTTTAACGATATTTCCATATTATGCCAGATATACTGAAATCTTGACATAAATCGGCATATACCTTAACACATTTAACACATATTGAAGATTTGTCATCAGTTTCATGCCATTCCATAACCCAACGAACCATATGAAAAGCTGCTGCAATTTTCCATTTTCTCTCAAATTTAAAATCTTTTGCTAACCATTTCTATTAATATATACATGTTATTAATACTAGCTCATAATTAAACTTTAATTATAATGAAAATTCTACCATCTCTTCCAATAAATAATTTTTTATTTAAAAATTAAATAAATTATGAAATTTTATTACACTATTTTTATTTTTTTTATTAAGCAGCGAAACCAATTCGGGGTCTCCAACACATCTACTTCA